TATTCCTTACAGTGTACCATAATATCTATACAAGTGATTGGACTTACAGATTTTCGTAAGTCAATATTATTTGGGTGAGTGGCAAATCGAAAATGAAATTTACCTACTTAGTTCTAGATTATGCCAACCAATTGATGTACAAACTGAATAAAAAATTCAATATACAACCATAAAGTGAACAATTCATGCTATGTTTATTAGCAATTATGTGTAACAAATAAAGAATACTCTAACTGTATATATGATTAAAGAAAATTGACTTTAACACATCAACTTCATATATAACATATACAAAATGAAAAACATTATACAAATTCATAAATTTTATAAATTATTCTTAATAATTGATATATCATGTACTAATAAAATTTTTAAAATTAAAGCATGAATTATGTCAATGATGTAATAGGTGTTATACTAGTAGTTAATTTTTTTTTTATAATACAAATTTATTAATATATATAACATTATCAATTTAAAATAGGGATAATTGGTGAACAGTCCACACTTGGTGAACAGTCCACACTCATGGGGCCATATGTTATTTGGTTCATGAAAAATTCCAAATTCCAATTCAAACAAACTCTTAGTTATGTTACTCATAAATATCTGAATTCATGAATTTCATAAAATGATTTTCAATTTTCAATTCTCAATTATATGAATTTCATAATATGACATTAACAATTATCAATTATATGAATTTCAATTTTTTTAATTTTATTCTTAGTTAAAAAAAATTACTTTTAAAACCCTAATTTCAAAACCTAATTTCCTTTTAATTCCTCTTAACAAGCAACAAATAAAATTTCCATTTCAACAAATATAGGTTGATAAATTTTTTAGTTTATGTGGGGTTAAAATTTCCTCTATAGACATTTAGCTCAAAATGTCTATATTCCAATTCAACAAGTATGGCATCTAGCTCAAATATAGGTGAACAAATATTGGTGAAGAAGATGTCTATATTTTCTTCAGAAGATGATTTCGAAATATAGACATTTCAAATTATTCACAAACATAATTTCTGATTTCTGATTCAGAAGCAAAATTCCAAACCCTAACATTTTCACAACACTGATAAAAAACCCTAACACATTACAACCAACACATTTAATAATTGACATTTAAAACCCTAACATTCACATTTTCACAAACACACATTCACAAACACAATAAATAAATACATAAAATTCAGAAAAAAATACAGAGCCATACCACGGAGACAGAGACAGAGACAGAGAGTGAGAGCAGCGGGAGAGCGAGAGTTGAGCAGAGGGAGATCGAGAGAGAGAGTGAGTGAGAGAGATCGAGAGCAGAGGGAGATCGAGAGCTGAGGGTGAGAGAGCAGAGGGAGATCGAGAGCTGAGTGTGAGAAGTCTAAAAAACGTGGCTTGGGTGTGTTTTATGCTCTCTGAAAGCGTTATTAGAAATGGCGAGTTTGTAAGTGCACAGTGAAGGCGCTATTCGGAATAGCGTTTTCTTCACAAACCAAATGAAGCGCTATTCGGAATAGCGTTTTCTTCACAAACCAAATGAAGCGCTATTGGCAACAGCGTTTTCTTAATCAAACTCGCGAATTGGAATAGCGATTACACTGTTCATCAAATTTCGACCTCCTCACAGTAAAAGCGCGAATCGGAATGGCGCTTCAGCTTAGTTTGGGAATTTCGTCAGAAGTTGGCCTAGTTTGGGAAATAAAATGCAAAAGAGGCTTATTTTGGGAAAAAGCCCATGAAAACAAGCACAATCAACATGGATATCACTCAAATAGTCATGATACTTGCAAATAGATTAGTATATTGATAACCGGATAAAATGACCACATATCTTCCTAAGATTGACTCACTTTGGCTCCAAGGGAAAATATGTGGATTATCTAGAATAAGAGAGGAAGACCTAACATTGTCCTTTTGGGAGGAAGCTTCACATTCACTAGGTGAGAAGACATTTGGACCAAGGCTTATGATCACTTTTGGATGATGAAAAAAGCACAATCAACATGGATATCACTCAAATAGTCATGATACTTGCAAATAGATTAGTATATTGATAACCGGATAAAATAACCACATATCTTCCTAAGATTGACTCACTTTGGCTCCAAGGGAAAATATGTGGATTATCTAGAATAAGAGAGGAAGACCTAACATTGTCCTTTTGGGAGGAAGCTTCACATTCACTAGGTTCTGGAGTTCAGGTTTGCATTTAGTTCTTATATCTCTTGCAGTAGACATAACTGGTAACAACTTTATTTTCTGGCGACCATCCTCAAAAACTTAGGTATTCTCCCTAACAAAGTATTGGGCATCTACATCATAAATCCAAGGATAACCGAGAAGCACATGACCTACATTCATGGGTAAGACATCACACATAATTTTGGCTAAATAACTACCCAACTAAATAGGTATAGACAACGCTCGGAAACAAGCAACGATGTCTTATCTATCCATGCAATCTTACATGGTTAAGGATGAGGTTCTGGCTTGAGCTTGAACCTAGGACATGATACAGATACAAAAACGGCGATACGGTAAAAATAAAAATGTAGGATCTGGGGACTGCAAAGATACATCTATAAAAAAAACATATATATATTATTTTTACTTATGCAGTATGCATAAAAATAAAATAAAAAACAATAGTACATTAAAAAAATATCCAGTACTAAATTCCTTAATGTTAAACATTCATTCAGTAAATGCCACAATCAAATGCTTAAACACAAAACAAAGATTCCAATTAAGCTAAGCATCTTCAATGTCAACAACTTCAACTTGTTCTCCTTCATTTGTGAATATCACAACTTCTATATATGGTCCATAAAAAGAAAGACTTGCAATTTCAAGTAAGCCAAAAACCTCCAATAAATCAAATCCATCTCAACCAATGTCCCATAACTTGGTATCTCCTTCAATGTACTATTGAGTTCTTCTTGATAAGAGATGAACATTGTTGTGTACAAACACCAAATCTTCAACACGTTATGTCATTTTGTTTTCCTTCATGGACTGATTAAAAAAGTAAGTGCTCCAATTCCTTTTACAACAAGATGAGGAACATGGTTGACCAAGCAATTTCAATGCTACAGATTGAAGCATAGGTGTAGGAGTGTAAACCACCAAAATTAGTGGATCCAATATTCCTTTATAAGATTTTGAGTCAAAATCTCCAAATATGTCCAAACCTCCTGAAAACTTAGCATATTCCACATTGACAACCCTTCTCGCCTTTGGATTTGGAAAGTATTCCTTGAAGCACTTGTTTCTCATACTTGAAATTTTCTCATCCCTATGAGGAGGAATGCGATTTCCACATTGACAACCCTTCTCTCCTCTAGATTTGGAAAGTAATTCTTGAAGTACTTGTTTCTCATACCTGAAATTTCCTCATTCCTATGAGGAACGCAATTTCCATATTGACAACCATTCTATCCTTTGGATTTGGAAAATATTTCTTGAAGCACTTGTTTTTCATTCTTGAAATTTCTTCATCCCTATGAGGAGGAACACCATTTTGACTCAACTAATAGAGGAATATTAGATCCACTTATTTGGTGGTTTACACACGGGTCTCCTACACCAATGCTTCAATCTTTAGCATTGAAATTGCTTGGCTAACCATGTTCCTCGTCATGTTGTGAAAAGAACTGGAACACTTACTCTTTTATTCACTCCATGAAGAGAAACAAAATGACACCACAACATGTTGAAGATTTGGTGTTTATGCACAACAATCTTCATCTCCTATCAAGAAGAAGTCGAAAATATATGGAAGGAGATACCAAGTTATTGGACGTTGGTGGAGATGCATTTGACTCATTGGAGGTTGTTGGCTTACTTCAAACTGCAAGTTTCTTTTGGTGAACCAGACATAGAAGCTGTGACACTCACAGATGAAGGAAAACAAGTTGAAGTAATTGAGATTGAAAATGCTTAGCTTGATTGGAATCTTTGTTTTGCATTTAAGCGTTTGATTGTGGCATGTATTGAATGAATGTTTAACATTAAAGAATTTAGAACTATATGTTATACAAATGTACTATTGTTTTTTGTTTTATTTTTATGCATACTACATAACTAAAACGAAAAAATATTTTTATAGACGTATCTTCGTTGTACCCCGTATCCTACTTTTTTAAGTTTTACTGTATCGCCATATTCATATCGTATCGTATTAGTATTCATATTTGTATCCTGTATCCATATTCATGCTTCCTAGTATTTGATTGATCTCAAAACCAGAATAAATAGAGAATTGATCCTTTAGAGAAGATCAAAATTTAAAGAAGAATTGGAAGAGAGAATAAGAACGAAGGGTCAAAACCCTAATCTCACCAAAAATAAAAAATAAAAAATAAAAATAACCACAACCTTACACTCAACTATCAATATTCTAAAACTAACCTAAAACTAGTACATAAAGCCATATATGTAGGCAAAGCAGAAAAACCTAATTAAGGTTACAAAAAAGAAAACGCTAACCTAATAAAACTCTAAATTAAATTAAACCTCATAAATAAATAAAATAACAAAATGTTTAATTTCTCTTTTATCCAACTCCTTTCCATTCCGCATCACCAAGTTAGCATAAAGCATAAATATGTGCTTTATTAGAGATTTCGGAGGTTTTGGCAAACAAAATTCAGATTTGGAATCTCTTTTATTTCTCTGTTTCTCCCTTCCTAGGACTTGTTTTAAGACCCATAGCTTTGCTCAATTCGAGCTTTATTCTTTTCCAAACAAGAAAAAATAAACTTTTGGTAGTAAATTGTGGAAATCTACTTGAAATCAAATTTGCAAGTTTTGGGTATTGATCAATGTTTTATGGGATCAAGGTACTTGCATATCTGGTTCTGTACTGTGAACTACAACAAAAGGGCAAGCAGAAACGAAAATTTTACATACTATAACAAGTTAATAAAGTAAATTGGAATCTACTTTTCAAAAGGTACAATATAACAAAAATTTACATCATCTATAAAAGAACAAGCATACCCGTGAGATAATTGCGGTACCAGAATATCCAAGTTTGGTTGCACTACATGTCCAAAAGCTATTCTCATAGCCATCTAGGAGACTTTGTTTGATTGCCTCAACATCCTTCTCCTGCGTATGAAATCGAAAACCAATTACTTGGATAGCTAGATTTCAAATATATTTTTATTGCATTACGACAGCATAAGAAAAACTAATTGTACGCATTAAATAGCCATGTCATCCTCAATATGACCTTAAGTTCCACTGCATTGACGATGTATTGGTGTTCTCTCTTTTTTTCATAATTAAAACAATAAACCAAACTAAACCAAACTGTAAGAAATTTAATGTATAAAGAGAAATGATTGTATTATTGATTGTTATATTGATATATTACAATGATTCCTATATATAGAAGAGAGGATGTGGGAAGAGAATAGGTGAGTGTGTAGTAGGTATGGAGTAGGTGAGTGTAGTAGGTATGGAGTAGGTGAGGAGTAGGTGGAGAGTAGGTGAAGAAGGTGAGTGTGTAGTAGGTGGTAGTGGTAGGTGTGTAGTAGGTGAATTTTAACACAAACCAAGCCTTAAGTCCCATCAAATGGGGTCAACTACATGAATCCTTCTTCTCCATTCGACTCTATCAAAGGTTATTTGGTTTGTCAAATTAAAGAGGTTCATATCTCTATTTACTATATTATCCCATGTTAATCTAGGCATACCCCTTCCCCTAGCCTTTCCATCTACCGTAACTATATCACATCTCCCCACTATTACTTCTGTTGGTCTCCGTTGTATATGACCAAATCATCTCAATCTATTCACTCTCAACTTATCTTCTATTGATGTTACTCCTACCCATTCACGAATATATTCATTCTTAACTCTATCTTTTTTAGTCTTACCACAAATCCACCTTAGTATCCCCGTCTCAACAACAATACTCATCTTATCTATATGTTGTTTCTTAATTGCCCAACATTTCGTCCCATACACATGCAGCACCAAAATCTTATTAAATGTCTTTGCCTAAAAACATCCTGACTTTGAATCAATCCACCTAATCCAATCATCTCCTTTATCCACACCTTCCATCCATTACATCGCCTAAAAAAAATTCCCAACTTCGCCAACCTCCCAATCATGAAATGACCTTAAAATACAGCATTCCAACTATACCTTCAACTCTTCGACAAACTGCCATCTAAGTGTATTAATCAATGCAATATCATAGAATGACAAAAAGGTCATACTCAAAGTAGGTTCCACACATCTTAAGTCATGCCAAAAACCCTTGCAGCCCATTTAACACACATAAAGAACTTCATTGCACTTGCCAATCAAAAAAAAATAATAATAATTGCATTGCTCCCCTTCTTAAAGCCTTCCCGTACACCAACCCCACAGGACTTAGAAGCCTCATTAGTAGTCCAATCACCCCAGTACAATCAATATAATGCTTCTCCACTACCTATCTCCAAACCAAACCAAACCAAATTAAGCCTTAAGCCCCATCAAATGGGGTCAGCTAGATGAATCCTTCTTCTTCACTCGACTCTATCCAAGGCTATTTCGTTAGTCAAATTAAGGAGATTCATATATCTATTTACTACACTAGCCCACGTCAATCTAAGTCTGCCCCTTCTCCTAACACTTCCATTTATGGTCACTGTATTGCATCTCTTCACTACTGCCTTTGTTAGTCTCTATTGTATATGACCAAACCATCTCACTCTATTCTCTCTCAATTTATCTCCTATCAGTAGTACTCCTACCCATTCTCGAATATACTCATTCCTAAGTTTGTCGTTTCTAATCTTGTCACATATCCACCTTAGCATCCTCGTCTCAGCCACACTCATCTTATCTACATGTTGTTTCTTAGTTGCCCAACATTCCGTCCCATACAACACCACTGGTCTAATAGCCGTTCTATAGAACTTCCTTTTAGTTTAGTGGATACTCATTTATCGCATAGTACTCCAGACACACTCCTCCATTTAAGCCACACTGCCTTAATTCTATGGACCACATCCAGTCCAATCTCCCCAGCCATTGTGATAATCGATCCTAAATAACGAAAATGTTCACTCTTAGATAGTTCTTGGTTCTCAATCTTCACTTCTCTTCTGCTTCCATTGTTACTATTACTAAAATTACACTTCATTTACTCTGTCTTAATTCTACTTATCCTAAATCCTTTAGATCCAAGTGTTTCTCTCCAAGTCTCTAACTTAGCATTAACTCCTTCTCTAGTCTCATCCACTAACACGATATCATCTACGAAAAGCATACACCATGGCACATCATCTTGAATATTTCTCGTTAACTCATCCATAACTAAAGCAAAAAGATAAAGACTTAAAGTTGATTAACCCTACAATAATTGAAAATTCACTCGTCTCTCTAACAATCAATCTAATAGTGGTCACCACACCCTCATACATATCCCTAATCACATCAATGTAATATTTTGTTACCCCTTTCTTCTCTAACACCCACCAAATTATATCCTGAGGCACTCTATCATATGCTTTCTCAAGATCAATAAAAACCATATAAATGTCTCTTTTCTTTTATCTATACTTTTCTATTACTCTCCTCAAAAGATAGATCACTTCCATTATTGACCTACTAGGCATAAACCCAAATTGATTCACTGACACCTCTATTATATCTCGCAATCGACGTTCCATTATTCTCTCCCACACTTTCATTATATGACACATTAGCTTGATTCCTCTATAATTGTTGCAGTTCTATCATAAGAAAATCTCCAAATCCATTTCCACCAAAGAGCTTGATTGAACAAATGAAATCTCCTAAATTCTAGACTGCCTATTGACAAATTTCAAGCAAATTGTCTCCATCAAGTCTCCTAATATGCAAACTTCCTATTGACAATTGTAAGTAAACTAGCTCCCAAACCAATTCACCAATTGGTACTTAAACCCTTTTAATTTTTCCCCTCCCCTCCCCACAAAAAGTTTCTCCAAATCTTTTCAACTTTCCGCATCAATGAAGTAGAAATAGTGAAGATGACCATAAAGTATGTAAGAAGGCTTCAAAGTCAATCTACATCTGTTAGATATTGCCATTTCTACCTTACCAACCGTTTCTAATATGTCTCAGTCATGGAATTTCAAAAAGAACTTCAGCCTTAAAAGAGGAGCTCAGCAGCAAGACTTATTAAGTAGAAGCAAGGAAACCAACACAACAACCTACAACGGAAGCCAAACCACTAAGAAGCATATGGCAATCCTCAAGCAATGAATGAAGAAATACAAGGGGCAGAGTGCTTCCTAATACCTTAGAAGCATGTGGAAAAGTCTAGTTAGGAACATAGAGTGTCCAAATATATGTTTCATTTGTGTTATTAATGGGCCTCAAGAATTTTACATCACCTCTAAATAGGCAGAAATGATACAATATACCAAATAATCCTTAAAAAGATCACAAATTGTAGTCAAATTTAAAAATAAAATAAAATAAAATAAAAAAAAAAAAAAAAAAACATGCACTAGAACAATGAAATGAATAAACTCATTATCAATGTACTCTGGTAGTGGTTTGAACAAGGCAGTGTATCAGGAACCAAAAATCTCCAATTTGACTATCCTGGTACTAATCCAATGCACATGGTTCATGATTATGTGCATTAACAATTACTCCTCTTCCTTGAAGGGTGTGTTGGGGTTGTTGGATAGCTTGATATACATTGGGCTCATTTTCCTAATAGCTTAAGCTTGGGATAATTGGTGACTTAACAGGGTTTTTGGATGTTTTCCCTGGGTATGTATTGTTTCTATATTGCCTTAGACATAGGATGTTGGTTGTCTCACCTTACTTTGTACTCTCCCTTCCTCTTTTTTAATGAAATCTTCTGGGGAATTACAGAACTTTGCTCCTTGCCAATATGGTGGGAGTCAGTTTCAAAAGAGCATCCTAGTTGATGTTTTGTCTTTAGTTTCCAAAGCACCAAAAAAACAAATCTTCATCATTTAAGAAGAAAAAAAGAAAGAAAGAAAGGAAAACTAGAGATTGCTGTGGTAAAATCTTCAAGCCACCTAAGACAAGAACAAAACTATTACCAACAGTAGTCATAGAGATCTTAGACAGTACTTCAGTTATTTATTCAATTCTTTCCCTTTCATTTTACTCATCTTATTTTAATCAGTGTAATCAATGTTTGCTAATAATAGGCATTGTTCCAATACAAGAAATGAAGCTCCAAGTGTCAGCTCACTTGGCTCATTTAGGCTTCTAAAATTTCTGGAATTTTGTGTATGAAACTTGCAATCTTGGTCTAAGTTCACTATTAACTAAAAAGTTTTGGGTGTATACATTTCTATTTGTTCTTTTGTTGTGTCCATTTTCTGGGAAAATAGAGCATGTTGGCATCATCATGAAGGCTCAATCTATCATATGTTTAGCCTAGATATTTTTTATAAATTTGAAGCATTTAATTTTGTAAGTATAATTTTTGTTTTTTGTTTTTGTGACAAGTAACTTTGCAAGTATTACTTGACTACATTTCTACGGCCTCATTATTAAGCACATGCCAAAGCAGGAGCCCCAAAATAACATATGACTCGAAAAGATGGTTGATCACATAGACTTTACAGGAAATAGCATAAGTTAGCATTTATATATTTCTTTGCAATTAATACCGGGGGTGTTGTACTCAATTCTGGTAATGTTACCTATATCAATCATGGGCCCAGGGTGGAGAGAATAGTTCAAAAGAATCTGTGCCACCAACCCCAGTAAATCAAGACAAGGCATTAACAAAGTAAGTTTCCTAATTTTTGTTCATTTGTTAATTCATAGATGAAGAAAAGTTCTAGCAATCTATGGCTAGAGTACAAGAGATAATACCAAAATAGGAAGGTAATAACTTCCAGAAATTTAGAGAACAGGATAAAGAATTAAGGTTCATAATGGTGACCAAACTTCAGCATGCTTTGTGGAGCAGAATGTCCAGCAACAGGAACTGAAAGTTTAAAACTATTAATTTCCAAAGAAAGAATACAAATTGGAGATCCTCAAAGCCTTCTCAAGCAAGACATGTTAATATTTCCCTCTCTTTAAGTTTAGGCCAATGGGGCCTCCATTGTACACAACAAAATAAATGATTAAAAGAATTAAAGAAAATAGCTGACACAATAATTTAACATCTTACTTGAAGAAGAAAAAAAATTTGTTTTCAAAAATGACAAATTAGAAACATAGAGTAGAGACCATTATAAAGTATGCAGGAACAACACGACTCCACTACTCAAAGAAGTTTGTCAGGAAATTCAATTATAAAGCAAAAAATAACTGCAGATTTAAATAACAAGTAAATCATAGGGAGCTATAATTATGTGCAGAAGTATCACAAATGCACAATTCTCAACATTACTGGAATGATATCAAAACAATTTCGGCATCCAACTCTAGCATTTTTTCTTCTTATGGCTCTTTTCGGGCAAATTATCACTTTTCTTAAGGCAAATTGAACAAGCTCAAAGCAAGTAAATTTCTTCTTGCCTGTAGTTTGGTCTCTTGCAAACACAACACATCAAAATCTTCTCTTTGAGCAAGTTGCAGAGCAGAGAAGTCCTTCAGCTTCAGTAAAGCTCTCAACCCATTGACATTCCATGACAATAACTTCATAAATTTTGTATCACCAGTAAGAGGAGTCGTCCTCATAGTCTTGGGATTGTATGCAACCCACCCTTTTTGTGGCTTCTTGTGGGCAAGAATCGTCCAAGGTTCATTTTGGTTTACAGAAAGATTAGCCTCACCAGAAGCTTCCACAAGCCTAGAAGCAATTTCTGCTGGTGCTTTCCTCTTTAACTGTGTGGGTTTCTTACCTAGAAAACATTAGCCATTGTAAAATACCACCAACCTAGTTAAAATCATCCATATTAATGTGTATGAGCATAACAATTTTACAACATTTTGCCAAAAAATAAATTAAAAATGAAGCACCTGAAACTTCATCAGTTTTGATAGACAGCTTCTGCTTTGTTGTGACTACTGTAGTTTTGACTTCTTCAATGCTGTCATCCACTTGGACCTGTTTTACTCTTCTTTTAGTGCATTGAAGTTCAGAAACCTCCAAAACACTGTTCACCTCCACAACATGCTCTTCGCCAGACAAACTCTTAGCCTTCCTTTTTGATGAATTTTTTTCAGTACAAATTGGTTTTGTTTCAGAGGATTGCCAATCTTCTACCACCAGAGAATCCTCACCTGCACATAGAGGAAAACTTAAACCAATGCAATGAACATTAACTTTAATACTTCATCTCATAGCGAAGAAGACAAGCAACGAGAATTTAATTTAAAGCTCAGATTCTCTGCAATCAAAACAAACCTGATAATACTGAAATGAATACAGATTAAGTTTGAAATTAGAAGCGTGTACCGTCTACTTTGTTATTTAGGAATCCCTTCAAAGCAGACACAAGATCACGTTTAGAACCTTTTGAGGGGACCCCAACACTCCTGCAAATTATAACACCTACTCATCAGATATACTGCAAGAGTATACATATTGAGCAGCACAATGCATTAACTTTATTTTTTCCTAAACTTGAGGACAGTCCTGAAACCGAACATTTGCAGAAGGAAGTTAGGGATTCAAGAATAAAAAGGGTGACTGATTCACATATTAACAAACCCAGTACAACAAAACTAAATGATCCATCCCATCAAAAAAAAAAAAAGACCTAAATGATCCATAAACTCAACTACTTAATGTCGGCTGCAGAAGTCATATTTAATTATTTATCTCCATCTCAGACCACACCACATGGTTGCTATATCAGATCACTCAAAGCAGATAGATATGTGGTAGAACTAATTCAAAATGTGGTTCTCTAAAATGAGATAATTGTATACACCGCAGATGCCCATAAATACATTGCTCTTATGTAAATTATAAATCTTCCTCACATGAATCTTTCTCCAATCCATTCTTCTCATTGCAATCTATTCCAGCAGGAAATCACAAAACATCACTAATGTCAAAAGGCGCAGCAAAAAAGAAACAAGACACAAGTTTGAATGAAGACCACAAGAAAGCAAAAGGAATCTCCGCTGAACTAAGGCTCATACAACCATCTGGGTTAGTAAAGGTTAGTGTTCCCATTCCTTTTGTGATAAAAAAAACTTAAATTTACTTCTTTTGCAACCTTTTTCTCATCAACCAAACAGCAGGTAAACATTAAGGGGTTGTTTGGGATTTCTTAAATAATTACACTTTTTGACTTTTTATGAAATATGGATTGGGTTTGAAGTGATGTAGTAGAGGGGTGATGTGACTTAAATAAGATGATAGGACTTAAATAAGATAGTAACTTTTTAATTTTTTGACTTTTTTTGACGATGCCAAACCAAGCCTAAGTCACATACTCATGCTAACAAAAATATCTGAAGTCTCGGTATTACTATTACCTTAATTTTGATCTGAGTTCTTGAACAGTCATTCTTTCAATTGTATCCGGATCATCCTCGGTAACTTCAGTTTCAACTTTTCTAGCTTTTGCCACACATTCCTATAAATATTCAAATCAAAAACTTATCCACATTACCTAGAACACCATAAAAATCAGATACAACAACAACATTGCAAGAATATTGTTAAGTAAAAAAATAAAATAACATTAACCTTGACAACAGGTGTCCTAATTCTTGGCTTGGTATCCATTGATTCACTTAGTTTCTCTGATGATGATGAATAATAAAGGAGTCGCTTAGACCCAATTGATCTAGCCGCGACAAAAACAGAGGCACGAAGTTTCAAATTCCTCTGAATCACTGCAAAACTAAATATTCACGTCAATTAAACAGGTTAAGTTATTTACTCCAAATTTCAAGCAGCAAAAGTATGTATCCATTTCGATTTTAGCCCCTTTCTATACTTTGTTTGGTTGCTGAGAAAACGCAGTGGAAAAGGAAAGTTATGAAGGGAGGTCTTGGTATTTCCACTCTGTTTTATTGGCAACCAAACAGAATAAAGTAAAAAGAGAAAGAACGCAGCTCCAGAGTTTTTTCAATATTATTATATCTATATCAGTATAGTATATATACATATATAGTATCCCCTAAGATTAGCGACATTGTGAAACCCTAATTTCAAAATCTATGTCATGAATGCAGTGAAGTGAGAGAGGGATGCGTACGTTAAGCAGGGTGAGGAGGCGCAGTTTAGTGGCATGCCGTGGTCGTGGAGAGAGAGTGCCCGGCGAGTGAGTGGGAACGAAACGAGCCGCGAAAATGGAGTCGCATCGCAAGTTCAGGAGCTCAGCACACGACTCGATTTGCTAATGTAAAGTGGGACCCGCTGAAGGGATCTTATATAGGAATTGGGGTCACTGCTTGACTTTGGCACAGTCGTGACTGTTGTGCCTATTTTGTGGTGTATTATGAATTTAATTTTATAATCTGAACCGTTCATGTTGTAAAGTTTGTTGAGTACTTTATATTTACCAAAAATCATATTAATCGTATACCAATAACTATATGATTGATAATCAAAAATATAAATAAGAAGTTTTTCTTTTAAAAAATAGTATAAAAATATGCAATTCGATCATATAGTTATTAATATCTGATTAATATGATTTTTGGTAGAC